CCAAGTTTTATGCCTTATGGGTTTGATATTTCATATAATATATAACATATTATGTTATATATGTATAGTAAATTTAAAAGTAAACTACGTACACGTCATCAATCAGCTGATCGGGCACGGTTGTCAATGTGATGCTAAAATCCTTGCATCAAGGGAAAGTGGTAGTGCAACTACAGGGCGATAGATGGCGTTTACATGAATAATACCAAAATGTCAAAAGTCTGAGTTTTTATAACCTATATGATGCACCGCCAAAAGTATGTTTTTAGCCATTTTTAAAGACATTTTCTGATATAAAACCCAAAAATTTTGCCATCTAAAGTCAGTCTCTGGTATATATATTATTATTTCATGTATCCAACATATATTTTGTTAAATATTCTAATATATAATTAATAATAATCCTATTTACCTCTCTAACAGCTGTTAAAGGTAACAAAGGTCCATTATTATGCCGTTCTGCCTCAAAATAGCGTATTAAGGATGACACCAACTCTTGACTCCGACTATTTAAATGCTTCGGCATTTTAAATATAGGAAACACAAAAAAACGATATATAACAAACACAAAAACGGCAATGAAAACTTAAACGATATAAAATAACACAAACAACAAACAAAATAAACGAAATAATACACGAATTAAACGAAATATTCAACTGACAGCTTCGAAATTCTAAAACGTCAAATTCTTTTTTATGTGTCATTTAAATATGAAAAATTTGAATGTAAACATGACAACATCACAATTCTTGCCAACTTAATTTGGTTAAAATGCATTCAAATATTCAATTACAGACTTCGATTTAGTCATTTAGTGTTGGTACCAATGCGTAAAATTTTTGTTTTATTGATGACGTGTACGTAGTTTACTTTTAAATTTACTATATGTAGTTTGAAAACGTAAGTATTTTGTTTAAATGTAGGTATACAGGTATGTATGTTTGTATGTAGGTATAACTTTTAAAATAAGGCTAAAAAACCGACAAGTTTTAAATATAGTACCTATAGGTTTTTTGTTTGTATGTAGGTCTAGTTAAATTAAATGGGTATTATAAGTTTATTAATAATAAATTATAAATAAATTATTAGCCAAGTTTTACTAATTATTATATTTTAAAAATATTCAATTTCATTTTAAATCTACTTTGTAAAGATCTACCTACATATTAAAAGGCTTTTATAACCTTTATATCTAATAAATGTACCTAATTTACATTATGTACTTGTACAGAATATGTATTTTCTTAAAGCAGAACTATTTTAACTATGTTGATTTTCATGACTAAGGACAAAGAATAGGTAGTTAGTTCTGCTTTAAGTAAATAAGTAAAATGCTGGTGTATTTTTGTAAAATCTTTGAAAAAACATTTTGAATTAAATTTAGCATTGGGTAATATTTTTATTATGACTATTATTATTAATATTAAAATTTTACTAATGATAATGATATTTTTTTAGTTTTACTTGAAAGAAGGTTTCACAAACTTTGTGCCACAAAGAAAGTTGGTGATTTCAAGTTTTATGATATTTTGGGTCCAGGACATATACCTAGTTTAAAAACGAAGTTGGAAGTTGGAAGCCATGGGACACCAACCTGAGAACATAAACCATACTTACATTCATGCATGAATTCAACAAAATCTTTGAATAAAGTTGGAATCAGGAAAATATGGAAAACCAACCTAAGAACATAAATCTTAATTACATAAATGCAATACAAACTACAATTAAAGTGGGAATATGAAATCTGCTGTAAACCAATCTGAGAACATACACAATCTACAATACAAATCAACTCTTATAAATCCAAGCTAATAACTTCAAATGGAACCCAATCTACTATTGAAAAACGTTGGTATTCGAGTTGCATAGTAACTTTTGTAAATAAAAACTGCATGCTATAGCATGTATACAGAATCTTTATTTGAAGAAAGAAGATACTTTTGCAAGATGTTGTTCAGTAGTTAACTCCTGTGAACTACAAACTATAATCAATCAAATTGAATAGGCTTTAAATTATACAATGTTTTCTATGATAAAAATTCCAAAATATGTTAATCATTAAATTGAATTTTGGTAATGCATTATTTTTTAATATCTTAATAAAAGATATTTTTGCAAGGAAATAATATTATTGTCATTATATTTTTGTAAATACATACTTTTACTTAAAATATATACATATATAATGCATATAATATTATTTAGTTAAGAATATTCGTTTTTTGTTTAAATTTTTAAGGGGTAGTATTTTTATTCTTAAATTTGTTTTTAATTCCACTAGATCCTGTACTAACTCTTTTTTTGTAAGATTTTTAGGACTGATACATTTTATGTTGATATTTGACAATTTTTAGGAATGTACAATATTCAAATTTATAAAAACAAAATATGATATAGCCTTTTTCTACAATTGTAATCATTGTATATAGTTTGTACACTTTTAGTCACAGAATATTTTAAAAATCGTATTTTTTCACATAATGCATTAGGATTTTTATTGTAAATAAACAAATGTTTCACTATTTTGTTTTTTTTTTTAATAAAATTAAAAATTATTAAAATAAAAAAATAAAAATTTAAAAGCCGGCCCTGGTATGTCAAAATCAATATGAGCTGAGTCCGGCCCATCAACTAGGGGGAGTCATGATAGACGTGTTTCCCTCGTTTAACACAGAGGGCGCACTTCTTATATCCTTTTTCTATGCTGTAAGACGTAAAGCTTAATTTTCATGCATCCGTATTTTAATGACGTTTAACGGATTGATTTGACGACAAATAGAAATTAAGTGTCAATATATTCACTTTACTAAATTTACCTAATGCTTAATTGTCTAATAAATTTTTTCTACTCCCACCTTTAAAACGCCCTACATGTTTCCATGCTTAAGTTAATGAGGGTATAGAAAAGTTTTTAAACAGGTGCATACTATACTTTTTCTACGACAAATACTTAATCTTAATCTTAAAATGATTTAAATCAAAAAATTGTATAGAGCGCCATCTATGAAACAACAGGGGAAACTGTCAAATGTCACATTTTTACATTTTATAAACACAATTATAAATCGAAATGTATCTTGAAAATTGACAGTTTTTCACAGTGAAAGTAAAGGAAATGTTTTATGAGGACTTTACAGTAGAGTCCGTGCCCGAATTTAAGTTATAGTTTACTGCCGGCGAAATTAAAAGGTCAGTAATGTTCATATAAAATTTTCAAATATTGGCGTTGAGAAACTATTTAATACTTTTGTATTTTTGTATTGAGATAATAAAATAATTTTCACATTTAGTATTATTTTACAAGAAAGGCACTTTATTTTAACGATGTATGACATTTGACAACTGTCAACTAACTTAAAACTAACTTCAGCCCGTGACTAAAAACCTGTTGCTAACTTCAGCCCGTGACTAAAGCGCCGTAAAGCCACAACTTGTCAATGTGTATTTAAAAGGTCACTTAGGGCCGTATGCAGAAACGTTGATTTATTTATATCAACTGATTTAGCATATCAGTGGATATAGGTTTTTGCACGACATGGCAACATAGCATCTAATTTAAACCAGTTTCATACAGAAATCTGCTCTACCGACAATCTAGGATTATAATTCAAGAAGACTAAATAAAGGAGGAGTAACTCTTGACCACAAGGCATAAAATGATAAGCTATATAACGTATACCCTTATTTATAATTTTATTATTTAATTATAACTTAAAAATAAACTTAACTAAATACTACTGAGTATATGCGTACGTTTTTTGGCTTGCCCCCACCTAGCAAGTTTCTCCTCCTGTGTTTAGTCTTCTTTTTTTAACCGTTTAATGTGTGACAGTTCGATTCTGTCTGTTTGATTTGAAATTAGAGGTGGGCCGGTTTGCGATTTTTCAAGAGCTGCGATGCAATGCGACTGCTCCGGCCGGAACACTGTGACAAAAAGCAGCGATTTTTCGAAGCAATGCGATTTGCGATGCTCCAGAGCAGTTTTGTTTGAGCAGTGCCACGGTAAAAGCAAAACACTGGCGAAAGTGCGAACGGCGAAGCAACTAGAGATAAGCGATATTTCACGAACTGTGATTTTTTCACTGATATTTAAAAATCACGAATAACGACTGCTACTTACATCTATTAATTAGCGTGATCTGTGATTTTTCACTTAGCGATATTTTACGAATTGTGTTTTTTCACTGATATTAAAAAGTATTAAATAAAAATAAACCGTGAGTTGCTATTTATCAAAATAATTTTTTTCACTGATATTAAAAAGCATTAAATAACGATAAAACCGTAAATTGCTATTTATCACAATAATTTAACATAGATTTTCGGCCGCAGGCAAAAATAGAAAGAAAAAATTTGAAATAGTTTTTTTAAACGCCCGTTTAAATAAGATTTTAAATGCCCGTAAGTATTAGGACAGCATAAAGTCGAATAGATCTGACTGCTTTTCCGTGGTACCGTACCAACTGTTTAAACCTAAAAACTATAAACATTTAAAAGCAAACCTAAGTTTAAAAAGTTTTTTGTACGAGTTATCTACCAATAAGTTCAATCACATATTGATAAATACATGTGGAACAATTCCCCACACGGTCGCTGCTGAAGAGAGCAACAGCGACGGCCTGGTATAATTAAAATTTCGGAGCAATTTAAATTTTAAATTGCTCCGAAATGTCGCTGCGATTTTTACTGCCGCGGAGCAGTTTGCGATTGTGACGCCACCGGAGCAGTGACAAAGTAGCAGTTTGCGAAATCGCAACACACCTCTATTTGAAATTCGTAATCTTCTTTATCTCTGTTTTGAATCATTCAAATTCGTGTAGTCAAAGCGTTTAGTGTTCTTTATTAAGAAAATGGAGAATAAAACAAAAAGGGGACCTAAAGCCTCAGAGAAGGACAAACAATTATTGTTGAAATTGGTGGAAATGTAAGTTTTATTTGGGCATTTGTTCTTCTAAAAATTAATAATTTATCTTATCCAAATACCTGTACCTAAAATGTTTGAGCGACAATCCTTTCTCACCTATCCCTATACCCATATTTTTAGGAATAAAGCAGTTTTGGAAAATAAACGCACAGATGCCACCAACAATAAAAAAAAACACAAGGCTTGGGAGGACATTGAATGCTTGTTCAATAAAAATAGTGATGGGCCAAAGAAAACCAGCCATCAATTAAAAATTCTTTATTTAAATTTAAAAAGAAATACCAGAAAAAATATGGCTGGAATAAATGTAAAAATCTATTTTATTTGTATATTATTAATTACCTCCCTATGTAAGAGATTTTAAATTTTAGAAAGAAGAATATTTACAAAAAATCAAGAAACAGGCATCAGAGGACAAAGTATGTAAGTTTATGCTTATTATACCTAAATAATGTGTTTCTAATTTTAGAAGGAACTTTATAAAACAGGTGGAGGGAGTTATACTCCAAAGTTGTCTGATGACGGAGCAAGGATGCTTGCTCTTCTAAAAGAGGAGATGAAGCCGGACCAAAATACCTTTGATGATGGCGCAGAATGGTTTGGTATGATTATTTTGTATAGTACAAACCAAATCAATTGCCCTTAATAAATTTGCATTTTTTGTCATTTTAATGGTGGAACTCCGAGAAAATTGGTATCAGATATTATTATAGTGACCTTTTTAACCTTACAAAATTTGTATGTAACCAAAATATTTTTTATTCGGATTTTTTTTTAAAATAATGCACATCATTAAACTTGCCTTGGTTACTACTTAAATAATTAAAACAGAGGCCCAATATATTAAAGCAGGTATTTCAATGTTTTGTAAAAATACATTTTTAAATTAAACGTCATGGGACCCCAAAAATTGGGATGCACAATAATTGTGAATTTTATTTTTTGGGGCTTCAGGACATGTTTAATTTAAATATTTATTTTTACAATACCTACATTTAAATACCTTTTAACCAATTATATTTGGTTATTTGGGTAAAACTTATATTTTAAAATAATTTTATTTTATTTTATTATATTATCACACAATCAATAAAGAATTTTCAGGGGTGAGTCGCAAACAAATGGGTCACATTGTATATAATATTTGAAATATTAATCCACCAATAAAAATAAAGCTAATAATGACATACTCACTGCTATAATATTATATTAGTATATACTGACATATTTTCAAGTGTGTTTGTTTGTATGTATATTGGTTTGCATAGAGATAGTACAGGCTAAGTTGAGCGCTTTGGCGGGGGATCATATGGCCGTTGATTAAATTAAATATCGAATCGTCGCGAGATTTTGGTGACAAGAAGATGATTTATCAGTGCCGCAGCTTGCCGTTTGTTCGTAAAGAGGGGCTACCAAAATACATGTATTTAATTGTGCCTAAACATAGAGATGATGGACGGCTTGACATTCCTAAGACCGCTCAACTTAGCCTGAACGGACAGTATATGGGATATTTTTTGCAAACTTTTTTTGTTATACCTAAAAATTTTTATAACAAAAAAAGTTTTAAATATTAATATTTATAATATTATTATTTAAAAAAAATAGAGAGCACTGCTCTAATAATAATTACATGAATTGTTTTAAACTTTGTCAAATGTTTTAATAATAAGTATATTGTTTGTATATTTAACAGGATTGCAGTTACTGTTAGAGGTAACAAACTACACAGGGTGTTTTGAAAATATGTGACAACAGTTGAAAAAGAATTTCTCATGCAAAAATAAGACAATAGTTTTGTCAATTTACAAGTGAATGTTTTTAATTTTGGATGTGCTTAAATTTTAAATTTATATTTTATAACGTTAAACCGTTGATTGAAAAAAACTCATATTCTCAACAACAGTTAAACCTTATTTTTATATTTGAACTTTTATTTGGTAGTGTAATTAAATAACACATTTAACTTATGTTGTGGATATATATAATATATATTCGATTCTACCCCTGCTGATGGAAAAGATATTCCAAAAAACCCTGTAAAATTTAAAAGATGTTTGTAAATATCATATTTTATAAATTTATATGCCTTTTAAAAAGTGTTTATTTCTGGGTCAAACAAAAATTATTTGTTATAATTAATCAATTTAATGAATGTTACAGGACCAGATAAAGTATATGAATCCCCACCACAATGTTCCTCATCCCCTCAACCTGGTTGCTCTTACCACCCAGAACCTCCTACACACAGTCTAGATCGTGATACTGTTCCTGCTTCTGCTCCTGCTCCCAAAACCACATTTCGAAAAAAAAGGAAAATCGTTTTAAAAAAAACAAAAATGGATCCAAAAAAAAAACTTATTATTTCCAAAATCTGCCTGGTCAGACTACAAAGGCGTCTGGCCATTAAGGAGGATAGTAGAAAAGAGGCTGAACATACTTTAAAAATAAAAATCCTCCAGGCAGAATTAAATAAACTTGAAAATTAAAATAAATATTTTTAAATACAATTTTGATTTTATTTTTCCCTTGTGACCCTAATTAAAACCTTAGGTAATACAAAATTATTTTTCGAATCTGCTCAATAATAATTATTACCAATTCATTTAATTTAAAGTAATAAATAATGTTTGGATTTTTAAATACTACATTTACTTATTATTGTATACAGGGTGTCCCTAATGGACAATACAATGACTGCAGTAATAGGTCAATAACACAAATATGCATTTGTAAAATATTAATAATAAACAAGATAAGGTCTCAAGTGGGACACACTGTATATATTTAAAATATTTACTTATTAATATTTATTGTGTTTTTCCCGTATTCCTGTAATTAGGCCAGGTGCCTGGTCACATGTAAAGTAAATAAATTATTAATTGAATAAGAATTGTTTGTTAAATTGTATTTTACTCAAAAACCCCATTCAAAATAATATATTTTAATTTTTTTATTATCTAAATAACTATGCTATAAGTAAAAACATAATGCCTTTATTCTTTTAATAAAAATAAAAGTATCATTCTGTAATTTTACCCAGGGTAAAATGTTACTGTAAGCATTATTTCTTTTTATTATTGAATTTTTGTTGGCTCTTATAAGAACCTTTTTTTAATTTCACAAAATCATCAACAATAGAACTAAACTGTTTCTTCAACAAGAAATAAATTAATTGATGTCAATTAAGCATGTATCTTATTAGTGAGATTATTAGCAACTTGATCTTCTAAGTAATTATTTGTAACACAATAAACATACATATCAGTATTAAAAGTGCAGGTATGAACTTATTCCCTACTCATTAAAAATTGTGGAAATAATTGACGTTCGAACGTCAAGAACATTTTCAAAATTTTCATAAGCAGGTTCAGGTTCTTCCTCATCTTCAAAAGGAAATTCATCGGGTGGAAGTGGGTGTTTTAAATCTATTGCCATGTTATGAAGAATAGCACAAGCTATTATGACCATCAAGACACGATCTTTTTTTATTGCCATACCAAGATGTAAGCATGGAAATCTTCTTTTTAGTACCCCAAAACACCGTTCAATAGTGTTTCTTGTTGAAATGTGAGAGCGATTATAACGACTCTCATTACCGCGTTGTGGGTTTAAAAGAGGTGTTAGGAGAAAATTTTTACATGGGTAACCATTATCTCCCAAAAGAAAGTTATTTCCATAATCTCCATTTTCAAATTGAACAGATAAAGGGCAGTCATTAAAAATAGTGCTATCATGTACTGAACCAGGCCAGCGTGCAATAATGTGTCTGATTTTAAGGAGCGAATCACAAATACACTGAACATTATATGAAAAGTATCCCTTTCGATTTCGATATAGTTCAGCTCGCTCCCCCCCTGGTGATTCAATTTTAATGTGAGTACAATCTATGGCCCCAATAACTCTGGGCATTCCGGCAATGCTAAAAAAATCAGACACCACTTGATGCTGTTCTTCATTGGGTGGCATAAAAATAAATTCTTTTTTTAAAAGTGCAATATTGTAAGTTACCCGATGAATTATTCTACTTACTGTAGACTGATGTATGTTCATTGTGTCCCCAATTAATTGCTGAAAAGCTCTAGTTGCATAGAATCTGAGTGTTATAAGAATTTGATTAAGAGCATCAATAGATTTATTTCGCCTTGTTGAAGGTTCAATTGAGTGTCCAATGCGATGCACAAGATCCATCACAGCATCCTTTGGGAAACGGTACCTCAATGAAAATTCTTGATTGTTATACATTTCAAAAGGATTGTTTCGGGTTCGGATGGTTCTTATTATGTTAACTGGTTCATCTTCATCTTCAGAAGACGAGGAAAACAACGATAAATCGGACAAAGATAAATCGGACATGATTAACACACTTGTGAAAGTATTCTGAATAAAATTTGCATTATTTAGGTATTTGTTTATACTTACCCACTTGATGTTTACTAATTTTTTCGTATATATTTACACAACAAAAATTGTTGTTCTTTTTTATGTTTTAAATCAGTGCTTTTCGACTGATATAAATTTGATAAACCGATTTACATTTACGATGAATTTATTGGCCAAAAAACAAATCTAGTAAACCATGACTTATATTAGCGAAATTATTTTATATGGTTAAAAGCAAATGTCACAAATGTCAAAAATATCTTGATGAAATTTAATTGTTTTATATCTTATTTAAAATGTCAATGTGTTGAAATTGACTTTTTAGGAGAAATATAAACATTTTAAAGATAATTACCCAATTTATTTTATAAAACAACAGTTTTTAAAGAAAAATACTGCGTTGCCATGTCGTGCAAAAACCTATATCCACTGATATGCTAAATCAGTTGATAAAAATAAATCAACGTTTCTGCATACGGCCCTTAGTGTTATGGAAACATGTACGATAAAGGGCGTTTTAAAGGTGGGAGTAGAAAAAATACATTAAAATATTCAATTACAAACTTCGTTTTATACATTTAGTATTGGTACCAGTGCGCAAAATTAGACGTCATCGATGACGTATACGTCGTTTGAATTCAAAATTACTATAGATTGGAAAAGTAAGGTGACGCAAACTTGGTCCTCAAAAATTTTCAAAGACGACAATTAAAAAAATCTCAAAAACTTTTGGCCAAAAACAATCTAAAAAATCAGTAGGTACACATACCAAAAACATATCCCAATTTCAAAATCAGTAGATGCAAACTCAATTGGCATGGAATGCCCCTACTATTTATTACTAAATATGTTTTGTCTAATCCACAATCCACAATGAATTGTGGTCTAATCAAGTAGTTTCCAAAAAAATTAAAAATAATAATCACTACTTAAATAAATTTTGTGCGATCGGTTCGATTATAACATTATAACATTTACAATTATAACATTTTACCCATAGATTATACCCTAAAATGCTTTTTGAAATAATTATTACATTGAGTATAGTTTCCATATTTTTGACTTTAACTGTATACCTTTTTAAGTAGGTAATACTTAAAATGTATCTGAATTATCTTTACTTACCTATTTACTTAAAATTAAAATTTCAAAATAAAATATTCATAACAGTACGTTGATCATAAAAATAATGTCAAAATGTTAAAGTTAAGATTTTCGATTTTATTGCTTGCTATAATTTTAATAAACCAAATAAATGCATATAAAATTCTCTGCTTATGGTCATTACCATTTAGAAGTCACTACATCCTGGGAAGAGCTTACGCAAGAGCCCTGGTAGAAGCAGGACATGACGTCACAATGGTAAGCGGTTTTCACGAAAAGGATTTCCCGAAGAATGGAACCTACAGAGAGGTGATTTTAACTGGACAAATAGAACAAATGGAAGGTATGTTTAAATTTGTGTACTTCACGGAGAGAAATGTATAGTAAAAAAATATAGTAAAATTTACTTTAACAAATTTTTAGGGTAACAATATTATATATTCGTCAATACAATATTAAGATTGTAATACAAAATACTATTTTTTATTATACAATTTTAGTAAAGATTACAACACCAATATTACTAAATCATAAATATTTTAATTTTTAATATGTTCGTATAGTAAATTGATTTTACTATCTACAAATAGTAATATTTACTATATGATTTAATCAAATGTAAGGTGTACATCTAATATTATAATATATTACACATTAATAAAAAATATAGTAAAAATAAAGATACTTTTATTTTAGGGTAACTAAATATTACTAAATCATAAATATTTTAATTTTTAATATGTTCGTATAGTAAATTGATTTTACTATCTACAAATAGTAATATTTACTATATGATTTAATCAAATGTAAGGTGTACATCTAATATTATAATATATTACACATTAATAAAAAATATAGAAAAAATAAAGATACTTTTATTTTAGGGTAAATAAACAATATATTTAAATATAATATACAATATAGTAACTCATGACATTTTAAACATTCAATTTTCTTAGTTTCTTTAATAAACTTTCTTGGCCCATTACTGGTAATACTTATAAGAAAGAATTGAACCTACTTGGTTGCATAGTATGTACCAATTGCTGCAAAGGCCACGTCGCGACGCGCCGTTAGACGCTGTGGATCACGTGATGTTCTTACATCTCGTCTCTGTTGACTTACCAACCATGTTATATAAGCTCAGGTATTTCTTTGTTTTGGGTGTGTTTCACTACTACAAGTTGCTCGACAGTGTCGTGTCCACACTGATGATACCCAATATAGGTCGAAACACATGTCTGCCGGTATTTGAAGTTGATGGAACGCACTCAAAACAAAAGCTTTGGCGAGGTGTAGGTTCAATTCTTTCTCATAACATTTTTGTATATTAAAAAGTACAATAAATATGTTACAATTTTTAATTGTATATAAAAATATTTGATTTTAATAGTATATTATGTATCAAGTTTTATAAACGCCATTTTAGTTACGAGTTTAATTAAGCACGAGCGAAGCTTGCGAGCGAGTGTTTAATAAAAACGAGTGTCTAGAGAAGTTTATAAACGAGTTTCATACTATACTTTATCTACGACGAACACAAAACAGAATTTAAAGCCAATTTCATTTGTTAAAATTTTGACATCTGTCAACTGTCACCCGAATTTATATAAAATATTGTATCTACTCCTACATTGACGAGCTGTAACTTTATGGCGTTTTATTGACGGGCTGAAGTTAACAAGAGTGGCTTTTCGACATTTTACGCCACAGGCTGAAGTTAGCTTTATTATAAATTGGGAAAAAGTGAGGTTAAATTCGGGTGACAGTTGACAAATGTAAAATTTTAACAAATAAAATTGGCTTTAAATTCTGTTTTGTTTTCGTCGTAGATAAAGTATAGTATAAAACTTGTTTATAAACTTCTCTAGACACTCGTTTTTATTAAACACTCGCTCGCAAGCTTCGCTCGTGCTTAATTAAACTCGTAACTAAAATGGCGTTTATAAAACTTGATACATAATATACTAGATATTATATTTAAAATGGCAACATAATATTTTAAAATTTACTATACTTATTAGTAATGGAAAAAATCTAATTATAATAAGAATTAAAAACAAAATTGGTTGAGAATAATAATATTTTACCTAAAGGTTAACATACATGAATATTTAAAAATTAATAATATGCATAGTATCTGGCAATATACAAGATAGTTGTCCCAAATAGTAATATAAATTATAGTAAAGGGTAATCAGCATTATACTTTTCTCTACGTGTTGTTTAATACCCTAAAAATACTATTTTTGTAGCAATGATAGAGAATGAAGACCACTTTAAAGAAGAGCCCTGGTCATTTCAAATCTACTTTTTTAAATTTTGTGAAGAGCTGACAAGGCAATTTCTCAAACACCCGAACGTGCAAAAACTTATCAAATCAGGCGAAAAATTCGACTTGGTAGTGGTAGAAGAATTTTCCAACCATGCTTTAAGAGCCTTGGCGCCACATTTTGGCGCCCCCTTGATTATCTTTAGTTCTATGGGGGCAAACAATTGGGTGAACACGTTGGTGGCGAATCCAGCGCCTCCCTCCTACGTTCCTGATAAAATTAGTCCTTATTCGGGTCTGATGGATTTTTGGCAGAGGCTTGACAATACAATAACTATAACTACTCAAAATATCATTACGGAGTTTTTTATTAAGCCAGGCCATGACAGATTGGTTAAACAATTTATAAACGAACACCTAGACGCTAGTACTTATAATGTTTCGTTAATATTTCTAAATTCTGATGCCAGTACAAATGATCCAATACCTAAAGTACCAAATATGATAGAAATAGGAGGGTTTCATGTACAACCTCCTCAGCAATTGCCAAGTGATTTGCAGTTGTTTCTGGATGATGCCAAAGATGGTGCGATATATTTTAGTATGGGATCACACTTGAAAAGTCAGAATATGAGTTTGGATAAAAGACATGCTATAATAAACACATTTTCGAAAATTAAAGAGAAGGTTCTTTGGAAATTTGGAGACAATAGTCTTTCAGGACTGCCCGAAAACGTTAAAATTTCAAAGTGGTTTCCTCAACAAGAAGTGCTAGGTTTTATTATGAAACAACATCATTAAATAAAAAGTTATATATTTATATTTTAGCTCATCCAAATGTTAAACTGTTTATAACACATGGGGGTTTGTTGAGTGCCACTGAAACTATTTACCATGCTAAACCCACAGTTACCATACCAATATTTGGGGACCAAAACCAAAATGCTAAGATAGCTGAAATAAACGGATTTAGTTTAACTTTACTTTACAAAGATTTGAATGAAGAAACTTTCTCGAAAACTATAAGAGAAGTTTTGGATAACCCAAAGTATGTTTTATATAAAACAAAGGTGTATGATTTAATTTACAGTTAATACTTTTTCAGATTTAGATTAAATGTAGAAAAAAGATCGCAAATAATGCATGACAAACAGGTGAAACCCTTGGAAAAAGCAATTTATTGGACGGAATATGTGATTCGTCATAAAGGAGCAGCACATCTTCAAGTAGCTGGAGTTTACTTACCTCTCTACAAATATTTATTGCTGGATGTTTTCAGTTTTATATTTTTAAGTTTAATTACAGTTTTGTTCGTTTTAAAAATAGTACTACAAAAAGTATTTTGTTGTAAGCGAAGACCAGAACGATCTGAAAAGAAAGATAAATAACACGTCTGCAACAGGTTTAAACAGGGAATATTTCTCAACGTAGGTATTCTTTTTCCACAACATTCTCAGCCCTCAAAATTCTTTTCTTTAAGAAATCGTTGTTTATAATTTGATTCATCGTTTCGACAATAAAAATTATCGAAAAGAAATAGTCTAATACAACAATGGAATATTGCTTACAATTTGTAGACCTGTAATTTATGAAAATAATGCAGATAAGGGTCGAATAAAACAAATATGATTGTATATAATCTTTTATTTACCAGTCGGTATTTTTTGTTCTAGTAAAAAGTAAACTATTATAAAAAGGGAGAATTAAAAAGTTATTGTCAAAGCGTCTCTAATATACAGTTAACATTATTTGTTCAATTTTGAACATCACAATAATACCATAGACCAGCTATGGTTCATACATCTATAGCAAATATAATTTTTACACAATTTTAATTTAATTAAGGTATATGGCAGTTTTGTATGCAAAAATATTGGACTATACTTAGTTATTAACAAAAAATAATTGGGTTAAAAATCTTTTAAGCATTTCAAAAATACTGTTTTCTTTTTTAAAAAGTTTATCGAAAATATTGTTTAGAATGTCGAAAAAATGATCCTGCTAAAAATTTTGCTCCAATAGAAAAAAAAGTCGGCTAACTTGGGGATTAAGTAATCGCAGAATAAATCAAAGGTTTTTAATAAAAAAAATGGCGAAAAAATTTGAAAACATTCTGAAAACTTTTTTAGTGGGGTAGAAAATCAACCAAGCAAAATTTTCGGTAATGGGCCCAAATAGTGGTGGTTTTTTTAAATAAAGAAAACTTATAAAAGTATATGTGGGATATGGTCTATAGACAATTGTGAATGGAATATTATTTATACCATATTTTGGTCCTATTTTAATTGTTTAGAAAAATGTTTTTTGTCAAAATAATTTACTATACAATACAATGTTAAAAAACTGTTACTAATCTTACTGTTAAAATTTTAGTTAAAAGTCGACATAGCGTTATTTCTGAAACTTCGTTGATATTTGTATTATTATTATAACAAAAGACCTTTAAACAATCGTAAAATTAATAATAAAAAATCTTATAATTTTATGTAAACATCATATTTTTTGTCTGTCATGATAGATTGCAGTGGTAAGCAATATTTTTTTAAACAATGGTGTATGTATTAGGGTGATTTAAAAAAATTACATTTATTTTTTTGACTTTTGATATCAAAAAATTGGTTGATGGGCACCTCAAAAGAAGGCTATCTAGGTATGAGCTCTTACTATTAAGAGTAAAATTCTCCTTATTGCAATTTTCTATTTTCACATTAGTCCTATAAATTTTTTTTTTATCTCACCATCAATTGAATATAAAGCTAAGCCCAATAAAAATTTTGATAGGGAATTGAATGCTCTACAAAGAAGGCATCCTATGTTACCTTAGGTCAAAAATTAAAAAGTTTTTTAATTTTATAACTTTCAGAATAGTTAGGATTTTAAAAGGAGAAGTAGGTACATATTTGTGTTGGAAAATAACTGATCTACAAAAATTAATATTTTTTACGGTAATTAATAAAAAAAGGTATAAGTTGAACTTTAGTTATCGAAAAAAAAGAAAACTGTTTTGTAGATCAGTTAATTTTCAACAAAATATGTACCACTCACTCTAAAATTTGAACTATTCTGCAAGAAATTTGGAAGAAAGAAAGTTTTTTCAAAACTTTTAAAACTTTAACCTATAAGATATTTTTTGAATTGATAGGTTTACAAAAAAACCAAAGGATACCTTTTTTGTGGAACATTTAATTCCCTAATAAAATATGTATTGGGCTTAGCGTTATATTTATTTATTAGTGAGATACAATAGATTGCAATAAGGGGGATCTTACTCTTAATAATAAGAGCTCATTCCTATACGAATGAGCTCTATAGATATGGGCTGCTTTTAAGGTGCCCAGCAACCAATTTTTCGTGTATTAGGGTTTCTGATATTTCCCAAGTGTTTTTTTTACTTGTGTATTATCCTAATTATTTGTTTACAGTCTAAAAACAATTTCGAGAAAAAATGACGATTAATAATAATAATTTTTTTCTTTACATATAATAAATTAGACATGCCACAATACACAAGAAAATTTTTTGTAGGTTGACCTTCTATATCATTTAAATGAATGGTTTTACGAAAAAACGTAAAATACCTTTTTTGTAGAGTGTATACGCTAAAGCAGCATCGGGCAGCATTGAGGGAACTCAAGAACACAAAATCATTTTTAAATAAATAAGTAGTTTTTTCACAAAAGGGAGGAAGGTAGAAGTCTTACTCGACAAATTTGGTTCGCAAAGCTTCAATTGCACAGCTAAATCGCGCACGTCATTTGTGTTCCTCCTTGCAAGTCATAACTAAAAACCTTTGGTTTAGTACTCGATTTCGTTTTATTATTTAGTTACGTTAGTGTATGTATTTTATCTCAGTGATCATTGTAAATTATTGTGTTTTCAATTGTAAATGTAATTCAAGAACTAAATCGTTGCATTTTCATGTTTTTTCATCTGAGTCCTATAAAAAAACGCCGACAAAACAAATCATTCCACGTTTTTTTCTCCCTATATTTTTAACATTTTCCTGCTTTATTCTTAAAAGCTCTCGTTTGTAACATACGAGTTTGACAGCTGATTAATAAAAGTTGTAGTTTTGTTACGATAATTTGTGATATTGTGAGATGTCTATAAATGAGGGAATTATAAATTTTTTCTTATGTCATTAAAATATAGAAGGGTTAATTGACATCGACATTTTTTTATATACACTGCCCGTCAAAATTCCCGCATAATAAGTAAAAAAATTCTAACTCTAAAACGCCTTTACCAATCTTTATGAAATTTTGTATAAGAATACTTCAACTTATATCTCAGTTTATGTGTTGGAAGGTTTTTCGAGAAAATATTTTTAAAGCCCTTTTATTTAATATTAAAATAATCGCTCGAAAAAAAACTTTTATAGGGAATTTGTTTTTAAGTAAATAAAAAATATGCTGTTAAAGACCGTATTTTTGTTAGTATACCCTGAAAATTTTGTACAAATCAAACGAACAGTAACAAAGATACAGCGCTTCAAAGTCGGTAAAAATGACCCCTTTTTGATTATTTTGCTGAAAAGTGGTCATTTTTACCGACTTTGAAGCGCTGTATCTTCGTAACTGTTCGTTTGATTTGTACAAAATTTTTAGGGTATACTAACAAAAATACGTTCTTTAACAGCATATTTTTTATTTACTTTTTTTAAATTTTAAATAAAAGGGCTTTAAGAATATTTTTTCGAAAAGCACTTGAAAAGGTAAACTGAGATATATTAAAGTATTTTTATCCAAAATTTTATAAAGATAGGCGTTTTAGAGTTAGAATTTTTTTACTTATTATGCGTTAATTTTGACGGGCAGTGTATGTATAGCTAGATATATCTATTAGGGTGCTTCATTTTAGAGCGACATTTTTTTTCCAAAGTCCCACCTGAAAATCTTGTAACCGGTCAGAAAACAAAAATTTTGAGCTATTAAAGCTCTTAATCTTTATTTTAAGCCGTTGCTATTAAATTTTAAAATATTTCCATTTAAAAACCATTATAAAACAATGTTTTATTCTTTTCTCCTTCCGCTCGTACAGTAAGAATATTTTTTTCGAATTTCGGTTCTAAAATCTTTATACAGGATGAAATTATCTTCAAAAATGTCTATTTAAGCAAGTCTGTAAGTTGAATATGTTCTTCACAAATTGCTGTTCTACTCGAAAATCTTCTAAAATAGCAGTAAATCGTATTTGGAGACTAAAGTATTGATTGTAGATAAAAAACGTAAATTTGTCAAGAAATATTTTTCTGTATCACTTATAGTTTAGCTTGTACAGCCACTCTTTCACCTAGCTCTAATAGTAAAGTTTTTAGTCAGAAACTGAATTTTTAAGAATTTGATACTTTGGGTGGCTGTACAAGCTAAACTATAAGTGATACAGAAAAATATTTCTTAACAAATTTGTAGGGCAGATTTCCTACAAAATTGTAATTTACGTTTTTTATCTATAATAAATAGTTTAGTCTCCAGCTCTAAAATGAAACACCCTAAAATCTATAGATCTATTTATTGTTTTGGCATGGTTCGTATCATGTATGTCCAACAGTAAAAAAATGTATATATACCCACTGGGTATTACCCAGTAGCCACCCTGCATAAATAGATTTCAATACTAAATAAAAAGGGACATATTATTTGCATACAAAACATATTAAAATAATTGCTGACACTCAGCAATATAAAGTAGATTATCAATTATAATCAGTAACAATTGCATTTATAATTTTGCATAAATAAGTTTATTTCCAGACTGATAAGAAAAAATTAATGTATAATATAGTATGATATCATAAATTTAAATATGTTTTATTTTTTTGTTACCGATTAAAATTTATAATTTACAGCCACGCTTAATAGATACATACAGAGACAGGCTATATATTTGAAATTGAGCTTAATAAAGAATTTGACAGAGAACGAGTTTTGGGTAATTACTGTGAATTTAAGAGCCAAACAATAATATTAGTCTTCCCTCTCAAGCCCTCAAAATTAATTTATTAATTAATGGAACATTGCCATTACCTATAAAAACGGATATACTCTCCAGTAACTTTTTTTATTGTCTATGTTTTGTACGAGGTGTGTTCAGAAAATAACGGGAATTGTTAAATTTCGCGGCTTCGAAGGGTCCGGTTGTCATAAAATTTTATTTATTATGTTGGAATACATGCCCCCGAAGTATGATAAAAACTTTAGCTGTTTTCATTGTTTACTTTGTCTGTGGCAGCCGGTAAGGTTAGACGTGTTTTATGAGCTCGGCGATTTTCGTTCGTTAAAAGAAATGGATCAAAGAGAATTTGTATCCAATTTTGCTTAAAAAATAAAATAAATTCTGTGAAATGTTAACAAAGGCCTATAGTGAGTCTGCTATAAGTAAAACAAGACTTTACAAGTGGTATAAGAGTTTCCAAGATGGCCGTGAAGACGTTGAAGATGACGAACGACCCGAACGCACAAGCACATTAACAACCGATAAAAACATGGAATAAGTGGAAGAAATGGTTATAAAACATCAGAGAAGTAGCTGATAATGTTGGTATATCTATTGGCTCCTCCCATGAAATTTTTTCAAATGTTTTGGGTATGAAACGCGTGGCAGCAAAATTTGTTCCAAAGTTTTTTGAACAAAATTTTTGGCCAAAAACAATACTGTAATGATGCCCCAGCCTCCATATTCGCCATACATGCCTCTGTCTGACTTTTTTCTATTTTCAAAAATAAAGAGAACATTAAAGGGCCGTCGTTTTGCAAGCATAAATGACATTAAAAGCGCATCGCTGAAAGAACTAAAGGCTATCCCAAAGATCGAGTTTTAGAAGTGTTTCGAGTATTGGAAGAAGAGCTGGCACATGTGCATGCATAGTCCCCATTGGATATTATGCATAATATCCAATGGGGACTATTTTGAAGGGGACAACATTAATGTAGACGAATAAATAAATATTTGTTTCAAAAAAAGAAAATTCTCGATATTTTCTGAACACACCTCGTATGTATAAAAATAAAGCAGGGAAATTGTAACTAAGTTTAAAATCGCTAGCTCTTGTGATTAATTATTTATTTACTAAAAACTTACACATTTCCCAAGATCTAGACAAGCTCTTATCAATGGGGATGATAGCAGTGAGGGATTGAAGTAGAGGACTTGAAAATATAAAATACATTGTCCCCCTAAAGGGGGGTGAAAACTTTATATTGGCAGCCCACCCTGCATATTAAATTTATTAGCATTATTTTTTTCCAATATATTGGATTTTTTTCAATGCATTGAATTTATTTAAAATATATTAAAAAAATTCTGTATACAGGGTGCACCAAGTACCCCATGTATATACTTCATATAAAAGTATTTTTTGAACCTTAAGGTCGGTAAAATTGGAGAAAAGTTACGTAATTATTAGCCTTTAAAAATGAAATTTATTAATTTAAAAAAGCCAGCGGTTTTCAAAATTTTTCTATCTATAAGTTGCAATATGACGGACAGGAATAACAAAAGATGGTGGTGGTATCTCAAAATCTAGCAGGCGAAAAAATCACAAATTGGAGAAAAATATGGATAAAGGTATGTTTACATGTAGAACATATTTTTTTCAAAATTTCCAGGAATAACGAAGTTATAACAATGTTTTGACATGTTTTCAGTTTTTTACAAATTATTTGTGAACCACAATTTTTTTTCGATGTTTAAAATCCATTTTAATAAACCTGTAATTACGCAACTTCTGTCTATTTTAACCGAACTTGTGCCCTTTAATTAAAAAGTTACTCTTTATAAAAAGTTCTTTTTCCTAAATAAAATATTATTAGACTATTGTGGAGCTGGATATGTGTTTTTGTTTAAATTATTTACATGCATGTAATGTTTTTACTTTAATAACTATTATTGTATTTAGGAAAATAAAGAATCATGTTATTATTAATCATTTAAATGCATCACAAATATTACTGCAAAACAAAGGTTAAGAAAAAAAAATAAAAATGTAATTATTATTGTAATAAACGATTATTATTAGTTGCATATTTATTGGTCACTTTTTAAATATTTTATTATATAGGAGGTCATGGATATTTAATTCTAATTAAAATTTCATTATTTTATTTTGCTCTAAAATAAAAATTAATGGTACTTCTTTCTTGAACCAATTATACATTTTTATATTTTATGAAAACCCTGTACAGGGTGATCCCCTATAATGTCGCCCCCCTAAAAAATACTTTTTTTCTACGTATAATACGTAACGTATTAAAAAAAATGGCAAATTGATCAATATACAGGGAAAAACAAAAAGTTTATTTTTTTTCAATGAATCACCCTATATATGAATTTATTTTTCGATTCCTTGTAAAATTCTGAGCATAATTCATATACCTAAATTCAACCGTTTCTGAAATATTTGCATTTGAAATGTTATCATTAAATGTTTTTTTAAACTGTTAGAAATCAAGAAGCCTTAGTATACCAAAATTTTTATTGAAAATAAATTACTATAGTTACATTATATCAATATGTCTTGTTAAGTAAATAAAAATGGCGTACTCAGACAGAGAAAGACAAACTATTTCAACTTATTATCTTAAAAATAATTTAAATATTTCAGAAACAGTTGAATTTAGGTATTGTATGTTGTATGAAATATGCTTAGAATTTAGGTATTGTATGTTGTATGAAATATGCTTAGAATTTTACAAGGAATCGAAAAATAAATACATATATAGGGTGATCCATTGAAAAAAAGTAAACTTTTTGTTTTTCCCTGTATACTGATAAATTTTCCAATTTTCTTTATACGTAGAAAAAAGTATTTATTAGTACCTACATAACCACACTTTTAAATTTTTTGGGACACTTAAAATAAAAAAGTTAAAGGGGGGCGACATTATAGGGGATCACCCTGTACATGGTATTTTACTTTTTAATAGTCTAATATTATTTTTTGAGGAAGCAGAAGTTTTTAAAAAAAGGCAACTTTTTTCGTAAAATTAATAATAAATAAAAAACAAGTTTCACATATTATGTAGAGAACTTACGCGGACACACTGTATATTGAAAAAAATATTTTATTATTTCATTATCATTTAAAATACAGTTTATCAAGATCTAAACTTTAAAACAAATCCGATTAAAATCGCACAATAAATAAAGATTCACACTGTACACAGGGTGATACGAATAAAATAAAATTTAATAATTCCTTAAATGTTAACCCAAATATTCGTTCTCTGTTAAATACAGGAATCCTGTAACAGGATTGACTTAAGTATGACAATGCGGTTCTAAGTCCTAATTAGGTACATTAATTGATTATCATTGGCTAAAGCTTCTATAGTTAGCACCTAAACTTTGGAAATATAGTTAATTTATGTATTAAGTAGTTTCACTCTAATATTTTCTCTAATATATTGTCTCGCGTAGTGGTATTGTCAAAATGGACCACAAATTTCTCATAAGTATGTTTAATAGCCGGTTAAACTATATATATATATATAGTTTACATTTTTTGTAAAATGAATAAATCATATGTAAGGTTTTTTGTAAATCAATTTGACTAATGCGTCTATTGTACTATTAACAATAAAAAGTTAAAATATATTACAATAAAGTTTGATTAATGGATCTGATAAACAAAAATTACATAATACAATTAGTTACATAAAATACGTCTAACAATACTTAACTATGATACCCTAAATTTTTAATAAATATCCCTAATAAAATATATTAAAAATTCATAATATTTTTTGATTGTTTCGAAAGTTTTACTTTGATATTTAATCGAAATACATATGTATGGTACTGTACCATTGGTACATGATATTTTTTTGGTAAATAAATTTGGAATTCTTATTTCGTACATTATTGTCGATACGAAAGGATTTTCGATTTTTTGTATAATTTTTGGAAGACTATAGTACAAATAAAAGCTTTCTAAAGAACTCTTATCTTTTATTATCGTCGTATGATTAGGCTTTTTATATTTGCCTATAAAACAGGAATTGCCTTTATTGTCTTTATTACCAATTATTTTAAATTTTTTATAGGCCTATTGTATAAAGAAGGTTTATAATTTATTTGGGCATTTTGGATTTTAAAACACTCCTCGTTTAATCGTATTGACGTCATTGTAGCACCTTACTTAATAGGATTTATTTAATCGAAATATTCGGGTATATGTTTAGTCTAAACCTTAGGAGGAATTAATAAAACTTGCACAGCCACCCTATACATTTAGGCTACAATTAATAAGAAAAAGTAAATCTAAATTAGTACTTTTTACGTAATTAGCATTTTAAATCTCGGACGACGTTTCTGCCAGTAATTTGAGCCAGCCAAAAGCTAACAGTACCTCTCGACCACGCTTATGTTAACCTTGTTCCTAGGTTTGTTGGCCTGATATCATCTGGTCGTGTCAATTTCCGTAAGGTCGCGACCTTTGGTCTCCGGCACGCAGCAGACCACGAAACAAAGACCGCAAATGGAAATGAAGGCGTACAGCCAAAACGCCCCGTACAAACCTAGCAACTCCTGGAAATCCACAAAGGTTTTGACACCGACAAACGCGCAGAAATAGCTGAAGCAAGTGGCCAAGGCGGTGCCAGTGCCTCTGTTCTCCAAAGAGAACAACTCGCTGACCAAGAGCCAGGATATGGGGCTGATTCCGAGCGAAAAAGCCACTGTGAAGACTAGAACACATAAAAGAGGTATCCAGTCGAGGTTGGGAACGGTTTTCGGATGTGCGTCCTCGTAGTAAGCAAAAGACCCAAAAGAGGCCAAGGCTAACGTCATTAAGACACTGCTCGCGACTAGAAGGGGTAGTCTGCCCGCGCTGTCCACCAGCAGGCCGGACAGTAGAGAAGAGAGCAGCTGCACGACTGCAACCGCTACGGCGGCGCTGTGAGGATCGGTGCCGCCGAAAGTCTCCTTAAAAACGCTGACCACGTAAAAGTTAAAAGCGTTGGCGCCCGAGAAACGTTGAAAAAACATTAGGCCGCACGCTATTAGAGCTGGTGTTCTCAGGGTTTCCAGGAAGAGTCTGGGGTTTGCAGGAACGGTTCTCGTTGAGACGTGGGCTTGAAGCAGCCCCAGCTCCAGTCTTAAATCGGCCGTGTCGCCTCTCAACCAGCGCAGTGCCTTCTCGGCTTCGCCGTCTCTGCCGTTCAGAACTAAGAACCCGGGACTCTCCGGGATGTGCCACATGGCGATGCACATCGCTGTCGGGGCCAGGGAAATCAGCAAGGCCAACTGACGCCAGTCCAGGAAAGCGCCCGCAGCGAACGCCACCAGCATGCCAGCGTGTCCGGCGATCTTGAGCAGGGCGCTCAGGCCGCCCCTGATCGAGGGGGCGGCTATTTCGCTTACGTACACTTGAGCGGAGAGCTGGACGATGGCCACCAGGAAGCCGCTGACGAAGGCGGCCAAGCACATCACCTCCACGCTGACGGCGAACACGGTGACGATCCAGCAGAGCGACAGGGGGGCTCCTGCGATGAGGAGGGTGCGTCGGCGGCCCCAGCGCAGGGCCGCTCCGCCGAGCGGGGCTCCGAAGAGGGCGCCCAGCAGGGACAGGCTGGCCAACCAGGAGGCTTCCTGGCCGCTGACGGGAAAGGCGTCGGCGTCGCGCTGCTGCAGCGAAGCTATGGCCGGAGAGCTGTAGCCTTTTCCGAGGCCGGCTGCCAGAGGTCCCAGGGAAACGGCCAAAGAGGCCAACACTTGGCCGAGGATCTGTGGACGTTCGGTTACGAAGAGGTGGCCCCCCGGTCCGGACACCTTTAAACATACACACACATTTTTATAAGATTTATGTAAATGGTCTACAAATGCATTACCAAATGAGAATAATATAACATTAAATTAGTTGTATAAAAATATGGGATTTGGTAATTTAAAGAGGAAGTTTTTTTTCAAAGGAAATATGGATGTAAATATTTGGAATGTATACATCCATTATAATAGATGAGAAGAGATAATGGAAAGAAAGTTCCGTTATGATAAATATAAGAAGGGTTAAGTGTAGCGAGGTTGATTATGTAATTTAAAACATTTATATATTAACGCCTAGACAAGCTATAAGCTTATTGGAATGTATATATGTAATAAAAATAATAATAATAAATTGCTATAAAACAAATGTAAAAGCCGATAAATCCAATGTAACATTTTAAGAGTAAAGTACTGATTCTTACTAATTTTGGTAAACTCTTTTGATCTAGCACAGCATTAATTACAGAGCTGGGAGGATCTTGAAAAAAAGATACTTAAAGTATCTAAGATACTGTATCTTAGATACTTTTTTATATTAGACAGAAAGTATCTTTAACTTAGATACTTTGGAAAAGTATCTTGTAACTTACTAGATACTTTAAAGTAACTAAGATACTTTTTAAAGTAACTTAGATACTTTTCAGTGTAACTTAGATACTTTCTTAGATAAAATTGGGGGAATTCCAGAATGATTCAAAGTAATTACCTAACCTACAACAGTTGTAGTACAACTTGAATTTATATAATTTTATAGTTTTTATTCAAACTTAAAAGCAGGGACCCGGACCCAAATGAAATAACGGTTCCTGTCCGATTCCGAGAGGAACGACAAATTTCGGTTCGGGTTCAGTTACGGTTCCAAATATATATATATATATATATATATATATTTGTCATGTTTTTGTCTATTCTTTTTTTCAAATCAGGTTCTTCAATTTTAGACTCTTTATTCTCTTTTTTTACTTTTATTCTCGATCTGCTTGCTAACTTTATCTTTTTCTTGTGATCTTGCGATTGAAAACTGGAAAATTCATATTTAAAATAAATTTTTCTCCAAAAATTCTGTTCTTACAAATAATTGTTCCTCTATTTTTTTTCCTTTTATGTTTGATCTTGTTAGGGGAAGTAAAAATTTGTGACGCTTACTTACTTGTGTTGCAGGTGTCATAAGTATAAATAATACTAGGCAACACTAATTAATAAATCTTCACTACAAATGCACCTACCACCCATGCTAGTCAAGATACCTACATACTAGGGCTGGACGATTATCGAAATTCATAATCGATTATTGATTATCTAAAATAATCGATTTTTTCGATTAATAGATTATTTGATTAATCGATTATTTGATTAATCGATTATTGATTAACCGATTTTTTGATTATTCGATTATAATAATTATTGATTAATCGATTTTTTGGTTAATCAATTATTTAAATAATCAATTATTTAAGTAATCGATTATTATTTAATCGATTATTTGATTAAAAGGTTATTATTTAATAAATCATAAAAATGGGTTTTCTGAAAAATAACTATTTTTATTTTGTTTAGTTAAAAAAAAATGAACAATTGGTCATATTATTTTTATTTACATATTTGATTGTTTTAATTTTAACAATTAATTAATTATAATAATTATTAAGTTTTCATAATTAGGTATTGCAATTATAATAATTATTATTATAATAATAAAATAATCGATTAATCAATAATTGATTAATCAAATAATCGATTAATAGATTATTTTGCCCACCCCTACTACATACACCTATATGCTAGTCATTTTAATAAATCAGTCTTCAACCTACTCTGGCATTATTTACTTCATGGCGCAGTCGGTAGGATATTTTGTAGCGGGGGTTTATTAATTACAGTGTTTTAGTATTTTATAATATATATGTATACATATGACATATTTCTTTTTACAATAAAGTTATTTTAATTAACATTTATAATAATAATTATTTATACAACATTTACAATTGGTATTAACACAGCAGGAACGCTAACAATACTTGTGCTAGAGTGTATAATTTATAGATTTATAGCACGTGCTCAATATTTTTTGCAAAAACTAATTTTATAGATTTTTTAACGACACAATTTTTTTTATATTAAGAAAAAAACCTAAAATAACTTTAAAACCGTTTTAAATTTAAAGAGTTCGGGTTCGGGTTCGGTTTCTAGAGTTACATTTAAAAATAATATGGGTTCGGTTACGGTTCCGGCCCACAAATAAATACCGGTTCCGGTCCGGTGTTCTGTCCAAAAAGGGTCCGGTCCGGGTCCCTGCTTAAAAGTAACTTAGTTACTCAAAAGAATCTTAGTTACTTAAAAGTATCTTAGTTACTCAAAAGTATCTTAGATAATTTCATATAGTATCTTAGATACTTTTTAAAGTAGGTACTTATCTTGTCACTAAAGATACTTTTAACTCAAAGTATCTAGTTACCAGGGGTAACTAAGTTATTTTGTTTAAAGTATCTTAGAAAAGTAACTAGATACTTTTCAGAAGTACCTAACTTTCCCAGCTCTGACCTGAGGTTCCCCAGATTTGTACCAATATTGTTATGTGATTTTCTACAAAATAAAACACAAATCATGGAAAAAATGTTCATTTATTTTTATTTTTGCACCAAATTTTTCTATAATTTTTATTGGTAGATTCTTTACTTATTTATTATTTAAAGGGACTTATAAGGCTTATGTAAACCTATTTACACGTGCTTACACGTACAAACTATTAATTTAATTTAACCTATTACGCTATCGATTTCAGAATAGGATTTGTTTTTAGTATTTTGCGCCAAGGTTATTTCTTTCGAACGACCTGTGCATCAAATATTTTGGACGGTTTATTACCGGCCAGTCAATCCCGGAAATTCTTGAGTAAATGGAAAAAGTTCATCTCCTACTGAATATCAGCCTTGATTGAAATATAAATTGTATTACTTTTTAGTATTTGTCCTTTTATTAGTTCTATCTTGTTTTATATGTTGACTTGTCTAAAAGATTAAAGTAATCAAACTAGTCGACAATATGACATTTTTGTTTGGTGGCCAATAACTTTTCTAGGGTAATTTGGGTGGGCTGATCACGAAAAATAAACCATAATTTTGCTCAATTAGCTCTTGTTTTGCGATATTGTGGAAACAACCGTTTTTTCGACATACAAATATTAAATTTCCTATATACCCAGATTTTAAATTCTCGATAGAATTGGCAAAAGTAAGAAGAATAGTTTATATTCTTTAAACCTTTGTTTTTAGAGGTACAGAGTGTTTAGGTTAATAAAAAAGTATAGTCACGCTTTTTATTATTATTTTATAATAAGATAAAGAAATTAAAAATACAACATTTTTGTCACTTGCATTTTTTCTCTACCTTGCTTAATTAAAAAAAAATTAAATTCGTTTATCCGCTCTTGACTTAATTCTTATTTCTTAATCTTAAATAGTAGGTAAATTATGTGTCAAGTTTAATAAACGCCATTTTAGGCACGAAATTAATTTAGGCACGAGCGATCTAAAATGATTTAAATTAAATATTTGTATAGAGTGACATCTATAAAACAATAGAGTAAACAACTTGAGAATCTGAAAATGTCAAATTTGTACGTGAAAATCGAAATGTAACCCTTAAAAATGGACCGTTTAATCCGATATAGAAGCAGTTTTTCACAGTGAAAGTAAAGAAAATGTATTATTGGCACCCGAAATTAAGTAAAATCTAGTTTGCTTTTTTCATATTTGTAATAGATGGCACTGTAATGAAAAAAATCAATTTTGTTCCATTTTTTTTTCTTTATACGATTCTGCAATAACTTTTCTATAAAAATATCACTTTGTTTGGTAATAATTATCTTATTAAATTAAATCTGATTTTTTAAGTACCCACGATTTTTTTACTAATATTTAAGTTTCCTTTGGTTTAAGTTTTATTCATGATTTCATTCGGTGATAATTATCAATTGCGCACCATGGTCACTTTTACCTGCCAGCATTAAATCCTTTAATTTAAAGGATTATTATACTATTTTTAATAAAAATAAATAAATAAATAAATAAAACATTATTTTGTCAATTAATTAATTTAATCCTAATTGAGGTATAAAACAATTATTTAGTTATAAATAATAATTATTATTGAGATATAAAGAAACTATTTATACATAGTTTAGCATTATTTAATCAATTAAGTTCGAAGATTAATTTGCAAACAAAAAGACCTCCTTTCGTTAAGCAGTTATTCATAATGGATTTTTTAACAGTGGAAGAAAAAAATGAAATGATTTTGATTTATGGAGAAGCAGGCAGGAATCTTGATGATGCTGTTAATATCTAGGCTCAGCGTTTTCCGGATAAAATTCGATCATGTACTTCATTTCACCGTACAGTCAAGCAGTTTACGACAACCGAAAAGCAAATATTTAATATTGTTATTTTGAGCACCTACTTTGGTTAAAATTAAAAAAAAAAATTGTAAAATAAAACCAAGTATTTTATTCAAAAGTTATTGGAGAATCGTATACAGAAGAAAAATCAAACAAAATTGATTTTTACAAATATGAAAAAATGTTTTAGACAAAATCTACCTATTTTTAGCCGAATGATCCGAATCTGCAATAAAAAATAGGGTGTTCCATTGGAAATTTTAAATACTTTAAAAAGGAATCATTGGTAAATTTAAATTTGACAATTTTCAAAATTGAAAGTGCCTTAACCTGAACAAATTTTCGATTTGAAAAAAAATATCAAATTTTGTTATTTCATCCATTCACTTTATTGTGTTAAAATTTAACGCAGTGAAATGTAAAATGGCAAAATGTCACTCAAAATAACCGCGGGTGTCAAAATTTATATTTAGGTTCATTTTCGCTTCCGGTGAACAACATTAAGCGGTAGATGCTTTATGATCTAATATTTCTTCTAAAAAAATCATGCCTGTCATTATTTTACATTTATTTTAGTAGTGACTCATGCAAGAACGTTTTATATTTT